CGTACCGACGACTGCATAAGGTGGCACTTCGACGGCTTGAGCTTCAAGTTCGCGTTCCGGAACCGCAGGAATACCTGACGTAATCGGTCAATGTGTTCCTCGAATGATCGGCTGAAGACAATGACGTCATCCAGGTAGATGAGGCACGTTTCCCATTGGAGGCCTGCTAAGGCCAACTCCATTATGCGTTGGAACGTCGCCGGCGCAGTCTGGAGGCCCATAGGCAGGCAGTTGAACTCGAACAGGCCCTGTGGTGTCCGGAACGCTGTTTTAGGCCGGGAGTCCGCGTCTAGTGGGACCTGCCAGAACCCGGACAATAAATCCAGCGTACTGAAAAATTTTGCTCCCGCCAGTGCATCCAATGAGTCGTCAATACGTGGTAGGGGATATGCGTCGGCTAGCGTGACGGCATTGAGGCGTCGGAAGTCCACACAGAATCTCAGTGACCCGTCTGACTTCTTGACTAGGACCACCGGTGCCCCCCAGGGACTCGAGGATGGAGAAATTATGTCGGCCCGCAGCATCTCCTGCACCGCTTGTTGAATGTGCCCTTTTTCTATTGGGCTCATTCTATATGTGTTTTGGCGCAGGGGTGCGGCATCTCCCGTGTTAATGTGGTGCTGCGACAGATTTGTGCGCCCTAGGTCGAACGGTCCCCGGCTGAACACGTCCGAGAACTCATGCAATAACGAGTGCAGCTGCTGTTTCTGGTCGGGCGGCAATCCCGGCTCAGGCCCCGCCAGCTGGTCCATCCATGATTCGGCCCCTCTGTCCTCGGACTGGCTGATGCTGCCTACAAGCTCGGGCTTTGTCCCTGGGGCTCCTAGTGACAAGGGACTAACGTGGGCCAGAACTGTTCCCTCCTGCACCGTCGCTGTTCTATCGGAGGTGTTCAGCACCTGAATGAACAGATGCTGGTTCCTCTGTACAATAGTTTCGGCTCCCACCAGCGCATGGCGATCCATGGCAGCTGACGCCGGAGACACCAGGATGGGTGAGTCTGGTCGGGCTGTCACGAGGGGAGACCGATATTGCAGCGGAATCAGCATCTGGGCTGCCGGGGGAATGGAGACAGACTTACTGACCAGAGCCTGCACGTAGGGTACACCCCGGCTGGCCCCCTCCGCCTTTAGGAAATGGAGATGCGTTCCCTGGACTTCCACCCGCCCATTGGCCAGATCGATTTTCATTGGCATCCGCCTCAGAAAGTCCGTCCCCAACAGGCAGGGTACGGGCAACGTTGCGGAGACAAGGATGGGTCCTGCTACCGAGAGCTGCCCAATCTGTATCGGGGCTTCAACCTGGCCCAGGAAGCCCATGCTGCCTCCATTTGCTGCAATGAACGTTGTCTTGACAGGGACTAAAGGTCGGTTTTTATCCGGCAGCATCTCGTGCATGGTGCTCGAGATGATCGTGGCTGATGCCCCCGTATCCACCAAGATACGTGCCGACACTCCCGCGATTTCACCGACCAGGACCGAGGTTCCCGACGTGGCCGCTACCACCCGCCTTGCCAGCTTCCTCCATTGTGTGGCTGAGTCCGGCCACTGACCAGGCGGCGTCTCGTTATCCTGTGGTGCATGGTGAAATGATGGGGGATGGATGTGAATGGACTGAAGATGGGGTTCCTCCCTTTGGAGTGCGTCGCAGCAGGGTGAGCGCGCCCTTGTTACATAGTGTGGGCTTACCCCTGGGTTGAGGGCTGTGCTCTCTATGTGGTGCAATTTGCCCCCCCTTGGTGGTGTAGGGTGGGCCCCCCTTGTGGTGTGGGGGCCCCCCCCCATTGTAGGGGGCAGTGGGGACTGGGGGGTGGGCCTTCCCGTGAGCCCCTCCCTTCCCTTTGTCACGGGGGCGTGGTCCCCCTGGTTCCGTCTCGCTCTGCCGCAAAGCGGTGGCGAGGCGGCCCGTGGAACTGCTCCAGGGCGCAATGTCAATCTTGTGGGCTGCCTCCGCCCCCGGGCCATTGCCCCTGGCAACTCGCCGGCGTCGCAGGTAACTGGTGACGTCACGCCCGCCGGCGACGTCACGCCCGCCCGCGAAACCACGCCCGCCGGCGACGTCACGCCTGCCGGCGACGTCACGCCCGCCCGCGACGTCACGCCCGCCCGCGACGTCACGCCCGCCCGCGACGTCACGCCCGGCCGCGAAACCACGCCCGCCCGCGACGTCACGCCTGCCGGCGACGTCACGCCCGCCGGCGACGTCACGCCCGCCCGCGAAACCACGCCCGCCCGCGACGTCACCTCCGCCCGCGACGTCACGTCCGCCCGCGACGTCCCTCCCGGCCTCGGCGCGACTCCCGACGCGGTCTCCGGCCCCGGCACGACTCCCGACGCGGTCCACGGCCTCGGCGCGATCCCCGACGCGGTCCACGGCCCCGGCGCAATTCCCGGCGCAATCCGCGACACCACTTTTGGCCGCGACGTCACTTCCGGATGCAACGTCACGTCCGTTCGCGACGCCACTCCGGGTCGCGACGCCGCTTCTGGTCGCGACGCAATCACAGGCCCCGGCGCTATCCCCGGCGCGATCCCCTTCCCCCGACCCGGACAATGGGGACCGGGGAACGACACCGACGGCGCCCACCCCGAGGAGACTCCCGGTAAGTTCGCGGCGTCGGAATTGTAATTGCTCGACCCGACCGAGAGGCCGGGCGGGACGGCGTCACTCGCCTGGATCCTGTCGGCGTTCGGCCCCGGCGGGTTCCAGGTGACGTTGGCAGCCTCCGGCTCCGTGCGGCACCCCCTCGCCACATGCCCCTCTCGACCACAACGGTGGCAGACCCACGGGGCGTTCCGTCGGGGGGGCTCGGCGCGATGTTGTAGAGGCGGCTGCCAGCGACGCGGCGGCTGGTCGCGCCCATGGTCCCTCTGCTCCGCCAGTCCCCGGATCGCCGCGTACACCTCCCGCAGCGATGGCTCCGTCTCAGACGTCGGGGGTCCGTCCCCAGCTGCTCCACAGGCAGCCTGTGGCGACGGTGCAGGTTCGGCGGTTGGTGTCGCTGGACCCAGTAGCGCCGCGGCAACGGCTCGGCTGTTCCCCCCCGCCGCGCCAGCCACCGGGCCCACGGGTGGCGCCCGGCCCATGACCTGCTCGTGGGCTTGGATGGTCCGGGCAGCCCACAGCGAGGTGCGTTCCCCCGGCGTCACCACGGGCATTACAACGCCGGCGCGGCAAGCATAGGCGATGAGGTGCTCGACCACGAGATCCTCGAGCGCTTCTTCAGCCAGGCGAGGGAAAGCTCTCCTCGCCAACACGAGTAGTGCACCCCTGTAGGATAAAGGGGATTCTTTAGCCCCTCGCTGGCGATCCTGGAACCGTTTAAAGGCTCCTTCCGCCGGGCAATAGATCTCCCCCAAAGCCTCGTAGGCCGCCTGTAGCGTGGTCTTGCTGTGCGAGGGAAGGGAGGTGTAAGAGGCGAGTGCTTCCTTGCCCAGAACGGATGGCAGCGCTCGTAGTGCCTCTTCGTCTGTCTACTCGAGAGCGTGGAAGGCAGCCTCGAATCGGCGGACAAACTCCTCCCAGTCTTCTTCCTCAGCCACGAACTTGTCGACGGGCCCCAGCCGACGCGGCCGTCCGGCCACCTGTTCTCCGTGTTGGGTGGTTAGCCCTGGGGGTTTTGGCGGGACCGGCGGCGGCTGGCGTGACGAGGTTGGTTGCGGCTCTTGCCCGGCCGGCTGGTCGGCCTCCGGGTCCCGTGGCCTCTCCTCCCGTAGTACGCGTGGGGGTGGGGGTCCCGGTGCTGGCGGGCCCCCCATAGGGAGCCTCTGTAGGAGCTCCTGGAGTGCCCTCTCCACGCGGGCCATGCGGTCCTCCATGGGGTCCTCCAGGCGATCCGGGCCCCCTGCTGCTGCTTCTGATAGCAGGCCCCCTTGTTGCCCGGGATGGGAAGGATCCCCGGCCCCTGCTTCCTCCTCCCTTGGCTCTTTCCCGCGGGGATTTTTCTTTGTAGCCATGAGATCCCACCGCTGCCACCAGATGTAAAGTAGGAGCCGACACCAGATTGCAGGGGTCTCGTCCTTTATTCCTTTCCTTCCATCCACACCTGTCCCCCAGCCGTCCCAATCTCGTTCCCGCCAAAGGACCCTTCTTCCCGCCCGTTCTCTCCTTATATCTCCTCGATCACCCCTCCCACTAACCCATCTATTGGTGGGAATCCTTCCCCTGACACCCCTACAATACTTTGATACTGGCAAAACAGTCCCATTTTGTAGCTGCTCAAACCGAAGCTATAGTGCATTGCCCTTGTACTGTTCGCTTCTTGCCATTCTCTGGTTTGACACTGGTGAAACTAGGCCGTAAAGAAAGATGTATCTGGTGTAGGCCAATCCGTTTCAAAGACAATGCATATATTTTGATTTAAAGCTTTCGTGACTGCAGGGATGCATATTATTGGTTCTTTTGGTAAAGTCACGTAGAAGGGAAATAATAAAATAATAGAAATATATTTATTATTTCCCTTCTACGTGACTTTACCGAAAGAACCAAGAAAAATGCATATTATCAGAGCATGTTTGTTTGCATGTTCGTGGTTAATGCAGTACTTGATTCCTTGGAAAAGGTTTCTATTTGGTTTAACACATAGGCTTTCGTGACCAATATTATCCATAATATAGGTTTTATTTTTGGGTTAGATCGCCACCACCTGACACAGCCAATTAGTAATCTGGCTGTCGTCTGATGAAGCTAGTTATATTTACTGGCGAAATGTTGTACTCGGATTGTAAATGTTGTGGATTTGCTATCCAACACACCGGTGTGCTGTACTAGTAACGAATTGGCATGTTCTGTTTGCGTAAAAAACCTTACTAATTTGCTGTGTCGGTTGGTGGCGGGTTTAGCAACATGTTTATATTTACGCGAACTAACCCAAATTTTTTAAATATTATCTATTTGGTATTTGAACATCTTAACACCTCCTGTTGTATTGCCAGGAAGGGTAAAACACCTAGTCTTATTTTTTCATAGCTTTCGCTCTGTTTGGGACTTCACTCTTTCAGGAGTCTGCGGCGAAATTCTGAAGGCGGCTGGAGAGGGAGTACGGGAAGAGTTTTTGCGAAAATGTAAGCGATCATTATTGCACCGCATCACTCTGCTGCGCATTCGTTTGAATTCGTTTTCAATTTCAAATTGTGTTTACGGGGCGTGCGTCTGTGCATGTGTGCGTGTTGGGAACCTCCCAAGTGTGGAGCAGCAGTGTAGCGGTCCGCGCGCTGCGCTATGAACCCGGCGACCCGAGTTCGATTCCCACTCACGGCCAACAGCCGGTGACAATTATCTGAACCGGTCCTGGGCTTCCTCCCCTATGTCGACTCAGCCTCAAATGAGTACCTGGTGCAGTGTGTAAACATCGCCACTGGGGATACAAAGGCGGCTGGGCGTGGTGTTTTCCACGTGGTGTTTCCTCCATAGACTGGTCAAGGACACTACTACTGGGCAGTTGGAGGCAGTCGCCCTCCAGCAACAACGGAGGGCAGAGGAGTGATGCTCACAACAACAAGCAGAGTGCCGGGTGGCTAAAATGCAGCAAGTTGGCACAGTAGGGGGTACAGCTAGTGCATCTACCGGTCATCTCAGCAATCAACCCACGGCACCTGGGTCTGTCTCGAGACCTCCTGTCAACGAGCCTGAAACCTCCTGTCAACGAGCCTTCGACACTTCACGTGCCCTCAAAGTGCACCTGGCTTGGCACAGGCGCCGTGGTGACGTCACCGTCATTGAGTGGCGAATGTCAGGTGTTGGTATTATTGGTATTGGGAAGCGTTTGCGCAGTGGTGAGCACTAGGCTGTGCTACGAGCCCGGCAACCCGAGTTCGATTCCTGATCATGGTCAACAACAGTGACTGATAGCTGAACCGGTCCTGGGCCTCCCCTAGGTAGACTCGGCCTCAAATGAGTACCTGATGCGGTGTGTAAACATTGCCACTGGTGAGACAAAGACGGTTGGGCGTGGTGCTGGCCGCCCCCACCACACCCCCCCCCCCCCTCGTGTGCGACGGGGCGGCCTTCATAGGCACTGCTGCTCGCTAACAGCACTTGCCCCAACAGTCTGCTAATGCTATACGGGTGATCTTTGTGTATGTGTGTGCGATTTTATTCAGGTCAGGGAGCCTATAACGGGGTGGTCGTGACCGACGCTGGAGATTTGAATTTGAAAAAAATCATCCACCTTGTTTTTGCCAAGAATCTCTTCGCGAAACAAGTCTACAATGCATTGGTTGTGTGTGAAGACGTCCAACTGAAGTCCATTGCTCTGCCAGCTGTTGGAACAGGTGAATGCTATCTAGCATTGTAGTGTATATTAGTGTAGTGTATAGTGTAGCATATAGTATAGTGTGTAGTGTATAGAACTCAGTTTAACATGTAGGCTTTCGCGACCAATATCATCCATAATAGAGATTTTCCATGAATATGCTAAATTCCTCTTCATATGCACATTCTTTTGTTAAGGCGCTCTTCTTCCACCTGCAAACGTCTCGTTCTTCACCTGAGGACGGCTGCTTGCGTTGTGGCCGAAACGTCGTGAGAATTATTTTATTTTATTATGTTTTATTTTTATTATTTTATTACTTCCCTTCTACGTGACTTTACCGAAAGAACCAAGAAGATGAATCCCTGCAGTCACGAAAGCTTTAAATCGAAATTTTTGGGTTAGATCGTGTAAATATATAAATGTGTCGTTAAAACCCGCCACCCGACACAGCCAACTAGTAAGGGTTGTCACGTAACAGAACATGCCAATTCGTCACTAGTGCAGCACACCGGTGTGTTGGAGAGCCAAGCCACAACATTTTATATGTGTATATGTTGTGGCTTGGCTCTCCAACACATTTACAATGTTGTGGCTTGGCTCTCCAACACACCGGTGTGCTGTACGTGTGACGAATTAGCACGTTCTGTTTACATGACAACCCTTACTAGTTGGCTGTGTCAGGTGGTGGTGGGTTTTAACTACACATTTATATATTTACGCGATCTAACCCAAAAACCTCTATTATGGAGTATAGTACTCAGTTTAACACAGAGGCTTTCGCAACCAATATTATTAATAATAAACGTTTTGGGTTAGATCGCATCAGTACAAATGTGTCGTATTCCTCCACCAACCGAAACAGTCAGTAAGGTTTGTCACGTAAACAACACACCAATTACTTACTACTTCAGCCCACCGGTGTGTTGGAGAGTAAATGCACAACCTTTACAATTTGAGTACGACGTTTCACTGGTAATTACATCCAGCATCATCGGGCGATTTGGCAGAATAGTGAAGCAGTGCACCTGCTACCGGTCTTAAATAAAGCAAGATGACATCATCACTGTGAATCAGTGTAGTATATAGTAGTGGATGGGAGTGTAGTGTATAGTGCAGGGCATGGTAATGTAGTGTATAGTGGAGTGTTTAGTGTAGTGTAAAGTGTAGTTTATAGTGTGTATTGTAGTGTATAGTGTAGTATGTACAGTATATATGTTGAACTTCTTTGGCACCGTACGTAGCCAACCACACTAATCGGAGTTGAGGGGGAATGGTAAACACAGAAAGCAGTTCTAAAGAAATTAGTTTTCAATCTAGATCAGCGGTCGGGAACCTATGGCTCGCGAGCCATATATGGCTCTTCTGGTGACGGCATATGGCTCCCAGACAATTTTGAGTTGAAAATAAAAATAAAAAAATAAAATCAGTTTGGAACTGATTTTAAAAAAACTTGTAATATTGCTTAATAATACGGTATCATTTTTAAGTAAACAGAAATTAGTTTTGAAGATAAATTTCACGGGTTACGGGTCCCGTGACCAGAAGTCGCATTAAAAGTAAGACATTTAATTTATTATACGTTAAAAATACTATATGGCTCTCAATGAAATATATTTAGAAATATTTGGCTTTTATGGCTCTCCCAGTAAAAAAGGTTCCCGACCCCTGATCTAGATCATAACAATTACCAGTGGCACACAATGCAAAAACACCCCCCCCCCCCCTATCGCCTTCAACAGGCTGTCGGGGCAAGCACCGTGAATTAGTTGTGCTGTAACAGGATGAAATTAATCCGCGGCAAAATGAGTGATAAATTATGTTAATGTGGAAGGGATGCCAATCAGCGTCAAGGGGTGGGCTTCTAATGTGGGGCTTTTTAGATCCACAACTCGTCTCTTTAGATCCATAAATCATGTGACAGGAATCACCATGCTTGATCCACGCTCGATCCAGCTTGATTCCCGTTTATTCCAGCATTGAATCGTATTCCTTGTATGAGCAAAGCCACACCCCACTACTCCATATATGCGCTTCCTGCATTAACATAATTTATCATTCATACTGTTATAGATTCATTTTATCCTGTTAGAGTGCCTCTAATTTGTCGTAAAATCCCCTTGAAGTAAGGCGCTGTGCAAATCTACACTGGGCAAGACGAGGCGTGAGCGCGTCTGACGCTTGTTGACCTGCGTTCATGTTGTTGTTGTTGTCCAGGCATGGGCGGCTTAAACCCGCACGAATCAGCGACCATCATCCTGGACGCCATCGCGGAGTTTTTCGTCCAGAAGAAGCCCAAGAGTCTCATGGAAGTGAGAGTTGTGGTGTTCATGGAGGAGATGCTGCAGGACTTCCATCGGGAGCTGCTCAACAGACAGTCCAAACCCGCACCATTGGAAAAGGGAATTATGTCCACTGTGACAAGTACGTAACCATGATGTATTATTGTTTTATATATTTTTTTTATATATTTAACATTGACGATCATGAAAGGACTAGATGCAGTTATGAGAATAATCGCCAACAGAGAAGCAATGGGAGTCAGGAGGACCAGCGGTGGATCTTCGTAGGCAACGGTGTACATAGGAATCCTGTGTCATCACTAAGTGTGTTTTGTTGAGCCTCAATGAAAATCGCTAAAGTTTTAGGTGTGAATGTAATTTCACAACATAACTGGTATTGTTTTTGTTTAACTGTACAGTAAAGCCTCTCTGTGTATGGGCGTTACGTTTTTGCAGAATTCGCGAAAGCAGAAACCTCGTTTCAATGGGAACAATTGACTTGGGTTCCTGGTACGAGTGAACATAGGGGGAAATTGGTAAATGCATAATAACAATGACTACAACATATAATGCGTTATAAAGAACGATGTGTTTTTCAATTACCTTTGAAGATGGCGGTGATGATGATGATTTGACGACTATGGATGAGGTGGTTGGTGATTGTGGTGATGGTGAGGAATGCAGGAGGATGACTTTCTCGGGAGATGCAGGCGTTTGATAACAATGCCATACAGTTGTCATCAGTTTTGCACTCTGACGGAGCGCTCGCCACAACACTGATTGCAATCGCCTTTTTAACGGACCTCACATTCGACCCGTTTATACCAAGACGAATAAACGAGTTGACTATGTATACCATATATAAAGTTAAAAATCCACAGTAGCGACTTCGGAATGGCATTAATGATAGACTGAGGACTAAGCGGGCAGCCGAGATGGCGTGCCTGATCTTCGCAGACCGTTTCAAATTTAACGACATTCTGTACACACCTCCCTGGTATCGGTGGTCTGGCGCTACGCACACTCGAGGAATACCGGAGTCGCGAAGAGCGAACTGGTACACAATTTAGTAACTCGCGAACACGCGAAAACTCGCGAATTAAGAACCTACGCATTTTGTGGAATGCTTGAAGAAGAGAGTCTCAGCTCATTGGGCTTTACTCGGGAAGTGAGCCTTATTATGATTCGGAGAACTCAGGAGACCAGGATAGGTCTCATATGCAAAGAGTGGCCTGGAACGACGTCTCGATGTTAGGGTCACCTTGCTTTACATCATAAGGGTGCAGTGCATGCCAAATAGAGCACACTGTGTCTTCGCAGCTGCTCGCAAAAAGATAGACATCAGTGAAATGCTGCTTGACATCGATGGTTATTTCAGTCTATATATGCACAGGCATTCCTCCGATAGCTCTCAGGAGGTGTTGTTGGTGGTATACGGAGCATTGTGCGAAACAGTGATATAGGAGGTCCTAATAACACAGTTCCTATGGAGATGCGTTACCTATGGCGCAATAGCAAACAGTGCTATGGGAGGTCACTATAACATGGTTCCTACAGAGATGCGTTACTGTCAGTGCTATAGGTAGCACTATAGGAGGTCAATATAACAAGATTCCTATAGAGATGCATTACCCACAGCGCTATAGGAGGTCACTATAACACGGTTCCAATGGAGATGCGTCCCCACAGCGTAATAGGAAATAGCTGCTACAGGAACGGAGCGTCACGCTCGGTGCTTTGTTCCAGAATGGAGTGGCACACTAGGAGCTTCATTCCGGATGTTCCCGTGGCAGCCAGCGCTGAGTTCCAAATTGATTTGGGCTGCGCTCGGGAATGTTTCGTCCACCTGAGGGTCGTCGTCGGGTGAACTGCTCAATCCTAGGCTGTCCTAAGTGTGGCCCTTCCTGCGGAATGGAGTTGAGGAGTGTTGAGTGTGCCCGAGGATTGGAGGGAGATGCGGTGTTGCAGGTAGAGAGGGGGCCAAGCAATGCAGTGCTGCCAAATGAAGAAAAACTAAAAAATCAAGACAAGAATGCCATTGCATCTCACACTGCTGCTATATATTCTCCAGGCCTCAGTATCCATTTGCCATTCCTTTAGAGAATTGTACACTGATATGTAGGGCGTTGAATTGACTCGGAGATGTTAACTACCTTGCCCGGTATACAGGAAGTTGTGGGTTTTATCCCGACCCTGAGGTTTGAATACTTGGAATTTATGGCTCTCTTTCTCCCCGCTGGTCGCGTCAATTTTTTTTTCTCTGGGTCCTCTGGTTTTTCTCTCTACACCATTGAGTGTTTAGAGTATTTGACTGCCGCTATAAATTTCCACCTGATAAGCCACTTCGCTGAGCTATCATTAGCTCAGTTGTGGGGGGCCTTACGCCTGGTTAAAGAAAATAAATAGTTTCATAATATAATTGTTTGAATTGCCATTTACCGCTGTTGCATGATCCGCAGGAAATTTTCAGTACATGACATCGCTGATGTCCAGGGGGGGCAGCGAAGCCCAACGGGAAATTCAGCCGGTGTCATTTGAGATCGAGCCAGTGCATGTGCAGGTGTACTCTGCCACACTGGAGAACGTGGAGAACGTGTTCATGGAGATTGAAAAGAAAATGACGACCGAGGAGAGCAAGCTGGAGTTGAGGGACGCTATCATCGGAGAGATTTACGCCAAGGTGGGGGACGAGATCAATGCGCTGCAGAAGAAGCACCAGGTCATGATCCGGGCGGTCGCGGGCGACTGCTTGCAAATCCACGGCAACATCACGGACGTGAGCCAAGTGGCGCTGGAGCTGCAGGCGATGATCAACAAGGCGAGGGAGAGGAGGCAGCACGCCGAGGAGGAAGATAAGCTGGCGGAGGCCGTGACGTGGATGTTCCTTGGCGAGGACGAGGAGTTCACCCCCTTCTCGAAAGCCGACAATGTCGCTCTGGAGAAGGCCCTGCGCAGGGAACGAGCGGCGCGTTTCAGTTCGAGGCCAAGAGGTGCTCGTCGACTTCAGCAGAATGAATCTGACCTTTGAACGTGGGAAGACGTTCAGGATTAAGCGGGTGACGCCTGCAGGTAAGTCAGTGAAATTGTGTGGAAGTTGAGCACGTGTACCGCTACGAAATTACCGTTGTCGTCGCGGTCAATTGTATTACGCTCACGATTGTCATTCAGATGAGCCGTTTTTGAAGTGCATCTACGTTCTTCGCAAGGCGTCACTGTGTATTTCGTATTCACACTCGACAAGCTACGAACCAGAATTCCAGCCAGACAATTAACTCGCAGTCATAACAAAAGTTATCTTCGGGGTTAGATCGCGTGAGTATAAATACGTCGTTAAACCCTCCACCACCCGACACGGCCAATCAGTAGGGTTTGGTCACGTAAACAAAATGCGCCCATCAATTAGTGACTACTTCAGTAACCCACCGGTTGTGTGTTGGAGAGTAAATCCACTACGACATTTACAAATGGAGTAGACATGATGTTCTGCTGGTGATTACAACTACCACCTTCCTTTATGAAAAACAATGCATGCATTATCAGAGCATGTTTGTTTGCATGTTCACCACAGGTACCATGTGTGGTTAACGCAGACTTTCTTCCTTGCAAAATGTTTCTATTTGGTGTTTTAACATATTAACACAACTCGTGTTTTATTGCCATACTTTTAACCTGGCAAAAAGGTCCCATTTTGCACCTTCATTTATATTTACGCGATCTAACCCATAATAACTTTTTTTTGTGATGACTCATATTGGTCTCTAAAGCCTACGCGTTTAAAGTAACTCGGACTCTCATCCTATTGGATGTTGATTTATTTCTAAAATGAACAACATTTTATGAACGGTCAATCGTCGGTTCCCTGTGAAGGGACGGGCTCTTGCAAAGAGGAGTTTAGGGATGAGACTTTGAATGCTATTTCTCAATCTGACACGTTGGTATATATATTTTTTGTATGAAGATTAAAATTAGGGGAAGGCATTGCGTGAAAGTTTGCATGGGTAGAGAGTTAAACCCCAATTGCAATTCCATGTCAGAATGACATTTGAGATGGATATTTTTGGCATTCTCTAGTCTGATCCTGGTCGTGAGACTAGGCCCTTAAAGAGGGCTGTCTCTGGTGTAGGCCAATCAGTTTCAAAGACCATGCACCTAACATTATCAGAGCATGTTTGTTTGCATGTTCACGACAAGTACTGTGTGTGTTTAATGCAGTACTTGATTCCTTGAAAACGGTTTCTATTTTGTGTTTGAACATCTTAACACAACTGTTTTCTTGCCAGAAAGGGTAACACCTATTATAATTTTTTTTATACTTTTATATTGGCAAAAAAGTCCCATTTTGTTGCTGCTCACCCCGTGTTATAAATGCTCCAATTCTTGCATTGTCTTTGTACTTTTCGCCTTTTGACGTTCTCTGGTCTGACACTGGAAGCTCTCAGACACCTTTGTCCTCTCATCTCCACTGAAATTGCCAACACATTGGCATGTTGCATAGTTGGGTCTCGCCTTGACTATTGCAACTCCGTCCAAGTCCGGACCTCCACTGGCAACCGAAACAAACTTAAAAGACTACAAAACAACCTAGCATGCGTCGTCATTGGCCACACTCATCCCCGTCTCGACTCACTAGCCTGTTTCCGTGCCCTCAATGGCTACCCATCGCCAGTAGAGTCACATACAAGACCGCCTGCCTCTGCCACCATGCCTTCACATCTGCCTGCCCGCCGTACCTTTCTTCATTATTGACAACTAGCAGCTCAGCACACGGCAGATGCCTGTGCAGCGCGACTCACGACCTCCTCTTGATACCAAGATCCAGGATGGTCATGTCTATGCGCTGCTTCTCGGTGGCAGCCCCAACAGTCTGGAACGCTATCCGTCTGCACATTCGCAGCATCACCTCAATCGCCTCCTTCAAGAGAGACTTCAAAACTCACCTCTATAACCATGCTTTCGAGCGACTCTGAGCTTGGCTCCGCGCCTCTGAGTTGCGGCCGTTACGTCCGCAAATTTGCGCGCATTATAAATTGAATTATTATTATTAGTGAGACAAGGCCAACAAGAAGGCTGTCTCTGGTCTAGGCCAATCAGTTTCAAAAACAATGTATATCATATTATCAGAGTGTGTTTGTTTGCATGTTCACCACAAGTACTGTGTGTGGTTAATGCCGTACTTGATTCCTTGCAAAAGGTTTCTATTTCGTGTTTAAACATCTTAACACAACTGTTTTATTGCCAGAAAGGGTACTGTCCAGGAAGTCCCCGCTCGGCGCACGGTGTTTACACAATAACACCCTCACGGCGCTCACCCTCACGGCGCACGCCCTCACGACGCTCGCCCTCACGACGCTCGCCCTCACGACGCTCGCCCTCACGACGGTCGCCCTCACGACGGTCGCCCTCACGACGGTCGCCCTCACGACGGTCGCCGTCACGGCGCTCGCCCTCACGGCGCTCGCCCTCACGACGGTCGCCCTCACGACGGTCGCCCTCACGACGGTCGCCCTCACGACGCTCGCCCTCACGATGCTCGCCCTCACGACGCTCGCCCTCACGACGCTCGCCCTCACGACGCTCACCCTCACAACGCTTGCCCTTACAATGTTCACCCTCACAACACACATTCCGTTACAACGATCTGACGAACCTCTACTTTAAACTCTTATCGCTAACTTATTATTTATGGGGGAATTGTTTTTTGCTTAACGCGGCACTGTTCAGCAACGCATATGCTGTACGATAAACTTGTTTCGCACCATGTGTAGCCAACCGCGCTAATCTGAGCTGATATTTTATTTGATTTCTGACTAAATGTTACGTTTAAGATTGATAACAAAAACATTTGATTGATTATTTAATCACTACCCAACCCCTATCACTACACTTATCTCTACCCCTTTCACTATCCCAACACCTATCACTACCCCAACCCCTATCACTACCCCTATCACTACCCCAACCGCTATCACTACCCCAACCGCTATCACTACCCCTATCACTACCCCAAGACATATCACTACCCCTATCACTACCCCAACACCTATCACTACCGCTATTACTACCCCAACCCCTATCACTAACCCTACCACTATCACTACTCCAACGCCTATCACTACTCCAACCCCTATCACTACCCCTATCACTCCCCCACACCAATCACTACCCCTATTACTACCCCAACCCCTATCACTAACCTCTACCACTATCACTACTCCAACCCCTATCACTACTCCAACCCCTATCACTACTCGAACCCCTTATCACTAGCATTATCACTACCCCTATTACTATCACTACCCCTATTACTACCCCAACCTCTATCATTACCCAAACCCCTATCACTACACCTACCCCTACCACAACCCCTATCACAACCCCTATCACTACCCGAACTCCTATCATTACCCCTATTACTACCCCAACCCCTATCACTAACCCTACCACTATCACTACTCCAACCCCTATCACTACTCCAACCCCTTCCCCTATCACTATTACTACCCCTATTGCTACCACTATCACTACACCTACCCCTATCACTACACACACAGTGAGTAAACTTATTTTAGCTCTGTTTTTTAAACTGCATATTTAAGCTGCACATGCATACAAACAAATAATTCGAATTATTCATCTTCAATTCAAACCTCTCGGTGCACAGGCAAGCAGGGGCTAAGGCTATAGAAATGCGTGCCATACTCTCGTTTTCTCTTTTCAGACGACATTCCTCTTCACTGGGCAGACCAGAACGAGTTGGTGAATCAGCGAGTCCTCGTCGAAGTCTTAAACTGCTCCTCCAAAGCATACCAGAAAATCGAAAAGGACTTCAGAACGTCCCTGGGAAAAGTTTCTCAACAGCCAGGATTTAAAATTGTACAGGTAACGCAACACTTTTTATTCTTTCATCATTAAAAGGGACAGCAGTCCCCTTGTCTCGGTTAACATTCGCTCACTTGGGGGGGGGGCGGTCAACACGATATGGTAAATACACCTCTAAGAGGAAATTGACAACGCAAATCTGACCGGGGAAAGTGGTCTGACAGCGCAACCGCCATGGACTGCAAGTTGTAGTTTTGTCAAGATGGGGAGGGGGGGAGCAGAGGGGTAAGGAGGGGAGAGGGGGAGAGGAGGGGGAGAGAGGAGGGGGAGAGGAGGTAGAGAGGGGAGCAGGTGTAGGCCAGTCGTTTCAAAGACAGTGCTACATCACAGCATGTTTGTTTGCATGTTCACCACAAGTCCGTGTGGTTAATGCAGTACTTCATTCCTTGCAGGAAGGTTTCTATTTTGTGTTTCAACATCTTAACACAACTGTTTTATTGCTAGAAAGGGTAAAACCTATTCTTATTTTTCATACTATATACATGCTTGCATTGTACTTTGGTCCTCTTCCATGCACAGCACTGCTTAGCTCCTTTCATGCCTTCGTCCTGCCTCTGGTGCAGGCCGATGGGCAGCAATAGGCTGTCCGTTTGGCGTTTGAACATCGGAACGCCGCATCGTCCAGTCGTGCTGGACAGAGTAAAGCGTTCTTTTGTTCATCACCGATTGTCTGAACAGTTGCCGTCGATGTGCTGTCATCGCTTGTGCTGATGGACTTGAAAGCATAGTTCTCGACCATAGACTAACACTGCCCATAGACTAACATCACCCATAGACTAACACTGTCCATAGACTAACGTCGTCCATAGACTAACATCACCCATAGACTAACACTGTCCATAAACTAACATCACACATAGACTAACACTGAGGTGACACACAAGACAAAAATCCCACACATAGCCTGAGAAGACTGTTGGGGCAAGTGCTGTTTGCGAGCACCTATGACGGCCGGCACGGTACACGAGGGGGTGGGTGGCTAGCACCATGCCCGGTCGTCTTTGTCTCTCCAGTGTCAATGTTTTCACACACCGCACCAGGTACTCATTAGAGGCTGAGTCGACAGACACACACGCGCTGTTGTACTCGCACGCCCCGGACCTCGGGGTTTAACATGAACCTTTATTTATTACGTGTACAAGATTTTATCGGTGCAGAATCGCGAGCTGTGGAATCTGTACACGACGAAGAAAAGGGACATGGAAAACGCGGACAAAGCGTATCCGTTGAAAACGCCCGTGGAGAAGATTCTCTTCCACGGGACGACCCTCGAGACCTGCGAGAAAATTAATGCCAACGGCTTCAACAGAAGCTATTGCGGCAAAAACGGTACGGGACCGTGCACGCAGTACACCTGCAATAGATGACGCCAAATAAGAATCGGCGTTAACCCTTTCTGGCAAACAGGAGTCGTGTGAAGATGTCCAAACACCAAATAGATACAGCTTTTGCCAAGGCGTTTGAACATCTTGACACCTCCTGTTGTATTGCCAGAAAGGGGAAAGTCTATCCTAATTTTCCGTACGTTGATGCTGATATTTGCATTGTCTTTGCACTCTAGATTTGAAGTTTTCGTGACTGCAGGGATCCATACTCTTTGGTTCTTTCGGTAAAGTCACGTAGGTATAAAATAAAATAAATTAAATCACGACGTTTCGATTGCAACACAAGCAATCATCATCACGTGGGAAAACCACGGCAAGAAAAATGTGTTTCCCTCTCCTAGCGTCCACGCAACGCTTTCCTCCCTCTACCCCCCCCCTCTCTCTTCACCCTTGCCCCTCCCCCCTCTCTTACCTATATAACCTCTTACTACGGCATCTCTCTCCCACTTCAGCAAAAAAAAAAATCCTTGCCTGTGGTTTTCCCACCTGATGATGATTGCTTGTGTTGCAATCGAAACGTCGTGATTTAATGTATATACCTACGTGACTTTACCGAAAGAACCAAAGAGTATGTCTTTGCACTGTTTGCCTTTTGTTGTTTTCTGGTCTAACACTGGTGGTGCAGAGACAAGACCATAAAGAAGGCTGCTGTCTCTGGTGTAGGACAATCAGTTTCAAATACAATGCATGTAACATTATTATCAGAGGGTGTTTGTTTGTACGTTTTACCACAAGGACGTGTGGTTAATGCGGCAATTGATTCCTTGCAAAAGCTATCGATTTGGTGTTTGAACATCTTAACACGTCTCCTGGGGTCATCGGATATTTACTGGGGTGGTGCCCCAGGTGTGGGACTCTCTCCTGGTAGTGCCCCAGGTGTGGGACTCTCTCCTGGTGGTGCCCCAGGTGTGGGACTCTCTCCTGGTGGTGCCCCAGGTGTGGGGCTCTATCCTGGTGGTGCCCCAGGTGTGGAACTCTCTCCTGGTGGTGTCCCAGGTGTGGGGCTCTATCCTGCTGGTGCCCCAGGTGTGGAACTCTCTCCTGGTAGTGCCCCAGGTGTGGAACTCTCTCCTGGTGGTGCCCCAGGTGTGGGACTCTCTCCTGGTGGTGCCCCAGGTGTGGGGCTCTATCCTGGTGGTGCCCCAGGTGTGGGACTCTCTCCTGCTGGTGCCCCAGGTGTGGGACTCTCTCCTGCTGGTGCCCCAGGTGTGGGGCTCTCTCCTGGTGGTGCCCCAGGTGTGGGGCTCTCTCCTGCTGGTGCCCCAGGTGTGGGACTCTCTCCTGGTGGTGTCCCAGGTGTGGGGCTCTCTCCTGGTGGTGCACCAGGTGTGCGACTCTCTCCTGGTCGTGCCCCAGGTGTGGGACTCTCTCCTGGTATTGCCCCAGGTGTGGGACTCTCTCCTGGTGGTGCACCAGGTGTGCGACTCTCTCCTGGTCGTGCCCCAGGTGTGGGACTCTCTCCTGGTATTGCCCCAGGTGTGGAGCTCTCTCCTGGTGGTGCACCAGGTGTGCGACTCTCTCCTGGTCGTGCCCCAGGTGTGGGGCTCTCTCCTGGTATTGCCCCAGGTGTGGAACTCTCTCCTGGTGGTGCCCCAGGTGTGGGACTCTCTCCTGGTGGTACCCCAGGTGTGGGACTCCAGTTCCACGCCTGGGATATAAACATTTGTGTTTATACCTTTAATTCCCCATTTAAAACCGACTGTTTAATCATAATAGAAGTTTTCTGGGTTAGATTGCATACATTTAAATGCCGTTAAACCCGCCACCACCCGACAGCCAATTCGTTACTCGTTCATTACACACTGGTTGTGTGCTGAAGAGGAAACCCACTACACACATTTACAATTCGACTCGCCGTGACGTTTTGCCGGTTATTACAACAACAACAACCAGCAGCAGCATCATCAGGCGACAGCCACAGAGGTGTGGAAAAATCCCTCCTCCTTTTTCAGTCTCAAGTAGTGTGACGGTTACGCGGGCCTCCTCTCACCCTCGCCATTCCACTTTTTCATTTTTCAGCTGTGGCCTATGGCAACGGAGTCTACTTTGCTGTGAGCGCGATGTACTCCGCGCGCGCCGCGTACTCCCCACCGGACTCCGACGGCATCAAATACATCTACCGGGCACGCGTGCTCACGGGCAACTACACGGCGGGCAGCGTGGGCATGCTCGAGCCTCCGCCCAAGGATCCCAGTGTCAACTCGGTGCTGCTGTACGACAGCGTGACTGACAACACCAGCCGGCCGTCGATGTTCGTCATTTTCAATGACAATCAAGCTTACCCTGAACATATTATTAAGTTCAAGGTACCGTTGTCGTCATCATGAATCCATAACGGGGAGTTTTTTTGTTGCTGTTGTTGGGTTAAACCGCTTGCGTATAAATGCGCCATTAAGCCCGCCACCACCTCCCAACACGGCCAATCAGTCAGGTTTAGACACGTAAACAAAACGTGCCAATTGGTTACTAGTTCAGCACTAACTGGTTGTGTGTTGGAGAGTAAACCCACTACACAATTTATTCTCCAACACAACCGGTTAGTGCTGAACTCTTCACTAATCGGCACGTTTTTCAGTTTAACACGTAGACTTTTGCGACCAATATCCATAACAGGTTTTTTGGGTTAGATCGCGTTGATATATAAATTTGTCATTAAACCTGCCACCATCCGACACAACCAATTAGTAAGGTTTGTTGCGTAAACAGAACCTGCCAATTCGTTATGGGTACAGCACACCGATTGTTTGTTGGAGAACAAAGCCACACCATTTGCAATCTGAGAACTCTACAACACACTGGTGTGCTGTACTAGTAAGGAATTGGTATGTTCTGTTTACGTGATAAACCTTACTAATTGCCTGTGTTGGGTGGTGGCAGGTTTGAGGACACATTTATATATTCACGCGATCTAATCCTACTATGGATAATATTGGTCAGAAAGCCTCCTACTACTACGTGTTAAACGGATCATCATCAAGACCGCCATCAACTTTCCCATCGCCAGCATTAAAAATCACCATCTCCAACATCAACATCATCAACGTCAGCACCGTTATCAGCACCACCTGCATCATCATAATCGAAATAACCTAGGGCCTTATTCCAAGGGGCTTTACAATAATATATATAAATGCATTTTACGACAACAGTGGTGGTGTAGCTATGGTGACAACAGATGGGGGTGGTTAAGGACAGTGCATATAATTATCAGAGTTGTTTCTTTTTGTTTGCATTTTGACTGCTTGTGTTGTGGTTATTGCAAACATGATGCCTTGTATAAAGGTGTCAGTTTTTATACCAGTTGAAAGGGTAAAAACTTATCACTATATTTTGCCACTGGTAAAGGAGGTCTCATAGTGTAAATGCTTACCCCGAGCTCTCAATACTCTGATAGTGTGCTGTTTTTGAGTTGTATGCCTTTTGGCGTCATCTGGTCCAACACCAATGGAGACAAGACTCTAAGAAAAGCTGTCTCGGGTGTGGACCAATCAACTTCAAGGACAGTGCATATCATTATCAGAGTTGTTTCTTTTTGTTTGCATTGAAAACTGCTTGTGTTGTGGTTATTGCAAACATGATGCCTTGTATAAAGGTGTCAGTTTTTATACCAGTTGAAAGGGTAAAAACCTATCACTATATTTTGCCACTGGTAAAGGAGGTCTCATAGTGTAAAAAACCATCATAATCAACGACATGATTGTCAAAGCCAGTACCAACGACATCATCAACAGCATAGCCACACAGACTCACAGCCAAGAAACCCATGCACTGAAGATTCGGCACAGCATCATCATCAGCATCGTCATCAACCTAAAGATCATGCCCTCTACTGAAGGTGGCGCTGCAGCTTCCATGCGCCCAGCGTGTGGGCACATATAGCGGTGACTCGGAGATGTTAATTACCTCACCAAGATGCCTGCTGTATATTTGGAGTTTGCCTGTCTCTCTCTCTCCGTGATAATTTTTCCTCCAGGTCCTCCGGGTTTTACCATCCACATTTGGAGTCAACGTCCGTTCATATTATTTGGTTACTGCTATACATAGTTTAGTTTATCGAATACTTTTACACGTAACCATACCTGGTAAAATGAAACTTGTTGAGTTATTATTATGCTTTTGCACTTGACTTGCACGCAGTTAGAGCACCTGATACACAATTGAAAGTCATTTATTACATTATTATGCATGTGTAATATTGTAAATTACGGCGGGAGACCACTTGACGGGTAGCACAATTTATTAACTCTTTCCTTAGCCACAATAACACGTGTGGACAACTACAGCTCTTCCTTCGCCACAATAACACGTGTGGACAACTACAGCTCACGCTACACGTTCAACCCGGCTACACACACACGGGCTCTCCAGCCCCGTAGCTTCCAGGGGAACCTACAGACCCACCCCAGCTTGGGTATGGGTCACGACCACTGGGTCCCGTGGCCCGGCCCTCACACGGACGTCCGGCCCCGGGTCCCAAGGTCCCGCCTCTGAGCCACACAGGGTCCCGGCCCTTACAAGGACAGCGGGACTAGGGGTCTCAGGGCCCTATCTCTTCCTCCTCCGTCTTCCGTCTTCACTGGTCACCAACTCCCCGAGCGCCCGCGCGCATCGCCTTTTATAGCCCTCCGCTCCCGGGGAGACGGAGTCTATGCGGACCTCGATGTGAGCACCTACCCTAGTTGACCAATCACCACGCACTGCCACACGATCCCTTTTCCCAGCTTGTGTCAGCGCGCACAACCAATCACCACGCGCTGCCACACGATCCATCACTGTCAGCGCGCGTCACCACTACACAGCCAATCACCACGCGCTGCCCCAAGATCCCTACTGCCAGCGCGTATCACCCCTACACATGTCAGCGTTACATTGTGTGTGAATGGATGTTAACCCCACGTAGTCAAAGCCACTTGACGACCTCCTCCAGCAGGGGGCAACAACTCCTGGTCCGCCCGGCACTCCGTGACAGACGTCGTAGTGGCTCGGAGATGTTAACTACCTCGCTCGGTGTACAGGACGTTGTGGGTTCGATCCCAAAACACAGTTCAATCCCGATACACCGACGCATTTTTTACAAGAGGTCGTGTATTACCGTGGAAGACGTAAGAAGGGTAGAGGTAACTTGAGAGTGAGGCATCTGGGTAATCATTACCCACAGGTAAACATTGTGCTCAATACATTTTTGCCAAAAGCTGTTAATTTCCTCGTGATGAGCCACTTCGTTGGGCTATCATTTCCGAGAGCCAGGTGGTCGCTTCTGAAAAAAGAGCTATGTAGCTCAGTGGGACCTTATCTGGTCAAATAAAAATGTTAGTTTAGTTTTTTCTCCTGGCTCCCCGCGTTCACACGGTTACGTAGTGGTGGTACGCTCCCATTGGTGTGGGAAGGGGCACAACCACATCCTGCTCTGGTCGCACCGGACGGGGCACACACCTGGCCATATCAACCAGCTTCTGAGGTAAAAACCAAAGCTGCGGCCCGTTGGCTGACTCGTCTCGATTCTGGCCGATTCGTCACGATACCGGCCAACTCGTCACGATACCGGCCGACTCATGATACCGGCTGATTCGTCACAATACCGGCCATTTCGTCACGATTTCGGCTGACTCGTCACGATGCTGGCCGACTCGTCATGATGCTGGCCGAATCATCACAATGCCTGCTGACTTGCTACGATTCCTGGCCTGACTCGGCCGACTCATCATGATGACGGCCGACTTTGTCACGATGCCAGGTTGACTCGTCATGATGCTGGCCGACTCATCACGAGGACGGCTGACTCGTCATGATGACGGCCGACTTGCCACGATTCCGGTCGACTCGGCTGAATCGTCATGATTCCGGCCGAATCGTCACGATACCGGCCCACTCGTCACGATTCTAGCCTCCACGGTGGCTCACAGCCCCCCGCGGGTTGTCCGCTGCTCTGGCACCGTTGATATCGTCACTGCTGTCAGCACCACTGCTGCTGGCTTTCATCAATGTGTAGTGGCATAGCGCTGGCTGCTGGCGAAAAAGGGGATCTGCGGTGTACAGCAGTACTGACGTCAGCAGACCATGATAGACACGAGAGGGGGTCGTCTAGGGGAAACTGTCAGAGAGGGGTCCATCGGGAAGCCTCGGGAACCTGCTAGTAGGTTCCAGAGAGGGGGCGTGGCCGGGGCGTAGCGAGGCCACGTGGAGAGTCGAAGAGGGGACCCTGTGGGGGACCTCAGGGCTGTTGCTAGGAAGTTGGATCCCCGTCGTGTTGTTCAAGATCGTCGTCGTTCACCATCCCCTCGTCGTCGTCTCCATCTTCACCATGCCAGGTTGCTGTAGTAGACAGCCTACCAACTGTTCTAAGTAGTGCCGCCGACAATAGACGGTCTTAAGTACAATAGTGTGCAACCGCGTAGGGTGTGTATTTATCCCGATGATGCTTGTTCAATAAAATAAGTGCCTCTAAGTATTACTGTCGCCGAGTTGAGTCACTACATATACGTGTGTATGTAAGTGTCTGTGTACGTATGGTGGGGAGCGGTAGTGTAGCGGCTAGCGCTACGAACTCGGCAACACGGGTTCGATTTCCAGCTCGCGGCCAACACCAGTGGCGATTATCTGAACCTGTCCTGGGCCTTAGCCTCAAATGAGTTATTGGTGCAGTGTGTAAAAACATCGCCGCAGGGGAGACAAAGGCGGTCTGGCGTGGTGTGGGCCATCCACTCGTTTGCCGTACCGGCCTTCATAGGTGCTCGCTAACAGCACTTGCCAAAACAGTCTTGTTAATGCTATATGGGGGATTTTTGTCTTTTTGTACATATGTGTGTGTGTTGAACATCTTGCGCACTGTACGTAGCCAACTGTGCTAATCGGTGGTGCGGGGAGGGACGACAACAAACTAAACACCAGATGAAGCTGGTGTTTAGTTTTGTAGAGGAGACATATCTCAATGCAGGCCATCAATACTCCCTGGGATTCCCTGTCAGAGGAGACATCTTCACTGCAGGGCTATTTTCATTTCCAAAGCTTTTTTGTCCGTAGAGCTGCTCTTTATTTGTGACCTGCTATTACCAGCGGACAATCCTTAAAAAAAATCTGCGACGTGCATCTGATTGTCCATTTATAGTTCCACATTTCGCACACAAGGCAGATGATCCCGGGGTTTGATTTTCCACGAAGCTGCTCATGGTCCACCATAAACCACATCCACCCGCACAAACCATGGCAGAAGTAGATGCGGATACCTGATGATGCATAAATGGAAAATTAAGAAACTCTCCAGGAGAATGCGACTGTGGCCATCCAGAATAGACCGTTCCACGTATAGTGAGTGACACGACGCCCCGATCCACAAATACTAAGGAGATATCAAGCGATGATAATTCACTACTCCGCTACTGCTCCTGACGCGGTTGTTATCTCGTCTTGACCATCCTGAATGTGACATTGTGGTTGTTGCTCTGCATTCACATCAGCAGCCGTATTGGAAGCGCATGAGACTCGTAGAGATCCATAGAGACGCACAGAGAACTCACAGATACCCATAGAGACTCGCAGAGACGCAATGAGACTCAAAGAGACGCACAGCAACTTGGAGACCCATATAGACTCACAGCCACTCGTAGACACACAGAGACTCACAGGGATCCGTGGAGACTCAGACCCACAGACTCATGTAGACCAGGAATCCCCATTCTGCCATCTCTGGCCTCGTTTAAATTGGGCTTGTTATTAAAATCACTCAAGTTTAAGTTGCGAATGTAATTTTACAACATTACTGCGCTTATTTTGTTCTATCTGTAATTGTGGAATGCTTTGTTTGTTGTCTGCCAGGTATACAAAACTCTTTATGGCCTTGCCCCACCGTACCTCGCTCCCCTCTTCTCGTATTATGTCCCCTGCCACCCGCTCTGCTCTCAATCTCCTACTCCTCACCGTCCCACCCTTTCCTTGTGCACAATCCACCGTTTACACTCCTCCCTACTCGCCCCTCTGCACTGAAACAAATTTCCCCTTCCACATGAAGCGAGAAGCACCCTCTCCCTGTCTCGTTTCCGCTCCTTCCTCAAGACCCCCACCTCTTCTCCCTGGCCCCCATCCTTTCCCTCCATCCCTCGGTACCCACCGTAATTCCGGTGCCCACGAAACATTCCTCTCCCATACCTCATCCCTATTCACCATGCCACTTTTAGCTACCCTCATTGTGGCACTCATAACTCTTGTAAAAAGCCTTGGATAAAAGCGCATTATAAGTATAAGATAGGGTGATGAAGGGGGTAAGCTTAACAAAAACACTCCACTCTTGCAAGTTGGATATTTTTCATAATATATATTTTTTGGGTTAGAGCGCATAAATATGAATGTGTCGTTAAATCCGCTACCACCTGACACAGCCAATTAGTAGGGTTGTCACGTACACAGGACATGCCAATTCGTTCGAGCACAGCACACCAGTAATTACAACTAACTTCAGGCGACAGCCAGATTTGTGGCTAGTTGTAATTACTGGCGAAACGTCGTACTCAGATTGTAAATGTTGTGGAATTACTCTCCAACACACCGGTTAGCGCTGTACGAGTAACGAATTGCCATATTCTGTAGAGTGACAATCCTTACTAATCGGCGGTGCCGGGTGTTGACGGGTTTAACGACACATTCATATTTACGCGATCTAACGCAAACCAAACTATAATGATATTGGTTGTGGAAGCCTACGTTTCAAACTTATATCTTTTTTGCAAAACCCGTGTGACACGTAACTCCTCCTTGCATGGCAACGTGGTGATGCGATATATTTGCTTAAACACGTTCAACTCGTTTTGTTGTGTTTTAATTATCTTTACTCTGGTTCTTTCGGTAAAGTCACGTAGGAATAAATAAATAACGACGTTTCGATTGCAACACAAGCGGTCATCCTCAGGCGGGGTTAGACCCCACTTCCTTGTCCATCGCCACATATATAACCATGTTGCAGAGGTGTGGACTCGAGTCATGTGACTTGGACTCGAGTCAGACTCGAGTCATGAATTTGATGACTTCAGACTCGACTTGGACTTGCATAACAATGACTTTGTCCCACCTCTGAGGTGTGGACTCGAGTCATGTGACTTGGACTCGAGTCAGACTCGAGTCATGAATTTGATGACTTCAGACTCGACTTGGACTTGCATAACAATGACTTTGTCCCACCTCTGCCATGTTGTAACTGCTCTCTCGCTGGTTCAGCAGTTCCACTACTGGATTATATTTTTTTACGCCTGAGGACGACCGCTTGTGTTGCGATCGAAACGTCGTGACTTATTTTATTTTATACCTACGTGACTTTACCGAAAGAACCAAAGAATATAGATTCCTGCAGTCACGAAAGCTTCAAATTATTATTATCTTGTTTCCACAATGATGAGGTGATTAAACTCTGCAAAAAAAATGTTAAAACCTGCAGCGTATTGAGTTTGTTATCTTATATAGAATTATATGGCGCCTTATTCCAATGTGCTATCATTATAACATTGTACGTTGGATGTTGCTGAAATGAAGAACGGGGTTATGAAAAGTTGCTGTAGTTATGGTGACAGGAGAACAGGCGGGACTGGTGAAGGAGAGGTTGAAGTAGTGATAGGGGTCGTGGTAGGGGTAGTGATGGTGTTTGGTGATAGGGATCGTGATAGGGGTAGTGATAGGGGTAGTGGTAAGGGTAGTGATAGGGGTTGGGTGGTGATAGGGGTAGTAATAGTGATAGGAGTAGTGATGGGGGGTAGTGATAGGGATGGTGGTAGGGGTAGTGGTAGGAGTAGTGATAGGGGTCGTGGTAGGGGTAGTGATGGTGTTTGGTGATAGGGATCGTGATAGGGGTAGTGATAGGGGTAGTGGTAAGGGTAGTGATAGGGGTTGGGTGGTGATAGGGGTAGTAATAGTGATAGGAGTAGTGATGGGGGGTAGTGATAGGGATGGTGGTAGGGGTAGTGGTCGGAGTAGTGGTCGGGGTAGTGGTAGGGGTATTGGAAGGGATAGGGGTAGTGGTTGGGGTAGTGATAGGGGTAGTGACAGGGGTAGTGGGAGGCGTTGGAGTAGTGATAGGTAAAGTAATAGAGTTTGGGGTAGGCCTGGTGGTAGCTGGTGGACATGAGCAGGAAATAGCAGTGGGAGTTTGTTCCTGTGAAGGGGAGCAAGATGGGAAAGTGAACGGAATCTATTTAACACCACGGGTCCTATGCATTTGTTGTACTGTGAATATCTATGGGACTGTCGGTTCTGTGTGAGTCTATGGGTACTTTGTGAGTCTTTGCGTCCAGCGTAGCTTGTCTATGGGTCATATGTTACGAGGTGAGACTAGAACAAAACCTCTGTTGCCAATGCCAGCGAGACTGGTTTTCCCCCAAGTTTAACACGTAGTAGGCTTTCGCGACCAATATCCATAGAGGGTTGTTTTCGGTTATATCGTGTAAGGGGCCGTCCATAAATGACGTCACGCACCTGGAGGGGGGGGGCAGACATTTGTGACAATGTGTGACGAGGAGGGGGGGGGTTGAGAAATGTGACGTCACATCAAAATGTGCAGCTTTAAATATAGACAACACGTTCTACTTAATTAAATAAACTTTTTCATAATGTTTCTCCTACAACATCAGAGTGCAGCGCCACATTAAATACGCACTACAATGACAATAGTTAAAAGCGATTTGAAGCATGTTTCTTTTTTTTTGGGGGGGGGGGGGGCAGAGCTTTGTGACGTCATATTTGAGAGGGGGTCTAACTTTTTGTGACGCCGTGTGATGAGGGGGGGGGGGGTCATAAATCGTCCAAAATCGCGTGACGTCATTTATGGACAGGCCCTAAATGTAAGTGCGTTGTTAAATTTATATTTACGCCATCTATCCAAAAAAAAACTCTTACAGTTATTCCCCCGATCGCAGTTCCAGATGCGAATTGTAACTTGCAATGCATAGATTTAGGTGTGAGTATGTATAGTGATTGTCCCACACGATCCCTGGGACAGAGTAATCAAGGGCACGGGGAGCAAGTGGATTGGCTGGAACATTAACGAGTAATATAAAAAAAAACTTTTAAAAAACACGCTTTTATTAAATGCACTAGTGATGGAAGCACTCCACGAATCCAGGAAGTCGCCCCGAAGGGACCGTGGACAATTACAGCCAACGTTAGTTTGCCATGGACAATTAGACCCAAGCCGAAACACAACATATACAAAACAATGTTTGAAAATATATTTTTTAATGATAGAATATAGTATTGTCATCAGTATAACACAAGTATACCAAGTTTGCAGTCGATACCACATTGGGAAGTGGGTTAAAATTGAGTTACAAGATTTGAGGATACAACAACGACAACAGACAGTGAGTTAAATGAAAGCGTGTAAAAAAGGAATAGAGCTCTAGGGTTGGGTGAACGTCAGGTGGAACGGTTAGGCCAGGCGAGGGTAAGAGAGAGGCGACGATTG